AAAAAATGATGGTGCCAGTGTAGAGGGGGGGGGGGCTGAAGGAGTTGAGATATATGTGAAAGTAAAATAAACTAGACGTGGTGATATACTGAACATTCAGGGTGACATAGGAAGAACGATTCCTCAATTTCTGGCTAGCATAACGTAATGGATAATAGTGTGATTCATCCGGGACAAGAACACCGAGAGGCCCAGATTCAGGAAGATAATGGGTTTGGGATATGTTGAATTTTAAATGCCTTTGAGATATCAGGTAGGCAGATAAATTAGAGTTTTGTCTTTCAGAGTAAAGGTGACTCTGGGCAAAGAAATTTGTGAACAATTAACATAGAGATAGTAATGAGATTGTCTTGGAAGACAACTTGAGTCAACAAAAATTTACAAAGAGGGACCTGCAAATAGGATGTGAAAAGACCAGCCACACTGAGCTATAGAAGCTAAAAGAGATTGTCACCAGAACAAAGAATTGCTCAACAGACTCAAATGCTGCTGAGCACTGATAATTGAAAATTGAAGTGTCTGTTGGATTTAGCGACTTGGAGGCACTGTTAATTTCATCCATAGTTATTTCTACAGTGATCATAGGGGTGACTGGTTAAAGTGGGTTAAATGGTTGATGGAGGGCAGTTGTGCAACTCCAGAGGGTTGATGGAGTGCAGTTGTGCAACTCCAGTGGCTCTCATAAGTTGCCTTTCAGCGATGCCTGGGGCACTCCAAGTCCTGCTGCCATTGTGTACGAGGAAAAGGTTCATTTCTCCAGAATCAACTAAGAAAAGCTCCTTTCTGTGTCCCTGCTTAGTTCTTTCTCTTAATTGTTTTTAAAATGCCAGATATGGCTTTGGTTTCATTGGAGTGATTTCTAATTGCCTCAGAGAGCATGGCAAACCCATGTGTCCTATAGCCACTGCAGTTGGCCACACCCCACAACTCTGTGGCACCTAGAATAAAGTTCTGAAGCAACCAGAGTCCTAAAAAGCCATGATTTAGCTAAAAGAGCAAGTATCCCTGTGCATTTTAGCACTTGTGCAAGAAGTGTGGCTCTTTGGAATTAATATCCCATCTGGTGTTTATGTTTGGTGAGCATTAGCTTTCATGAATTCAACATGTACTGGGTGTCTACTCTGTGCCAAGCACTGGGGATACAGAAAGCAAAACAGGTCTCTGACCTCAGCGCGCTGACATGACAGCCTAGTGCTGGAGACAGGCAAACAGATCAGGGAAAGGGACCAGACGGACTGCCTGGGCTTGGAGGCTCAAACATTCCTCTGTGAAATAGGAAACGAAATACCTAAAAACAGACAATTCTGGAGAAGTTTGGCTGTGGATGGTGGAGGGAAGGAAGCAAATAATGGTCTCAGGAGAGAGGTGGGGGGCTGGGAATCAACAGTTTATTTTGTTTCGTATTCTTAAGCAGGAAAACGTAAGCATGTTTTAAAGACGATGGGAAAAATCTTTTCTAGAAAGGGTGATGATTCTAGGGAGTCACCTGGCGGTTGACCCCCACCCCCTTCCCGCTATCTCCTCCTCTCGATTTCTCTTTCTTTTGGCCCCAGCTCTTCTGCGCCTTCTCTACTCCGCAGAGCCCCAGAGCCCACAACCATTCCGGCCCTCCGGCCCCACTCGCAGGCATCTACTCACCGCAATGGCCCCTTCACTTAGGTGGTCCACCATGGCTCCGCCGCGACAACTCCCGCGCTTCGGCTC